TGTTTTCCTCAGGTATTTTTGTTTTCCTCAGGTATTTTTGTTTTCCTCAGGTATTTTTGCCATAGCAACAAGATAAGCAACTAACTCATTATTAATTAGTTTCATCATGAAGTTACAGAAGACGAGTCTGACTTGCTGATATCCATGATACTAAATTATTATGTGTAATACAGTTCTTTCAATCCAAGGTACCAGAGGATGGAAACCTTTGAAATTTTCCTGTAAAACTCTTCTCAAAGTCTCTATGTGCTTACTCCCTAAACTGTTCCATCAAAAAGTAAATTATTTCTTTCAGTGACTGGCAAATAAAAATAAGCAAGCAAGAGATGGGACCATAAAATTGCTTCCGTGGAAACTTACAAGACAATAGTACAAACTCAGAGGCAGAAAATCCTGCATACACACTCAGCTGCAGTTGGTCACACAAGCCTTCTATCCATCACGGTGTAGAGGATCCCCAAACTCAGCGAAAGGCAATGCTGGTTGCTATAGAGACAACATCTCTTGAAGCAGCACCAGGGAAGGAGGGTGAAGCACCTTCATGCTCCCCTGAGTGTAGTCATGATTACAGAGGGTAGGAATAAGGAGAAAGGGGGCTTTCAGAGACGCTGAGGTCTTCCTCCCTATACAGGGCTGGTCAGTTTGAAGACAGGCATGGTGCTTCACTGGTTTGCAACTGTGGTGTAACCACATGTGGTGCCACATGTCTGATCAGGCCTTGAATCTGTCAAGCCAGTCCATCCATCAGCAGGGGCCTGCTGGCAGGAGACAGAAGCTGCCAGGAGACAGAAGCTGCCAGGCTTCTCAGTCAGGAGCCTGAGGAAGAAGCTAGCCATCTTGGAAACTTAGCCATGGCCTCTCTCCTTACCTGTCTGCCTACCAGTGAGTTAGTCTAGCTCCCGGGCTTTCAAAATCGTGAGACAAAATGGACTCTTATGTGGCTTCTGTCACATACCTGATCATAGCAATGAGAAAATACACAATGAATACATCGTTATTTATAAAAGTTCTAAAAGCAGGATGAGAGGAGTGGGCACCTGGTACCAGGGAAGGCCATACTTAAGGATGGGACGGCACCACAACACTGTGTCCCCTGTCTCCACAAGGCTTGCTAGGCATCCGGCCACATCCACCTGGGTTTCAGAGTCCCTTTACACTATTTTCTCCTCGAATCATTTTCAGAGATTTTTGTTTGTTCGTATTTTTTTAATGTAAGGTAAACATTTTGTTTTAGAGGTCTAGGTGACAATTCAAACAATTGATGGCTCTGATGGAAGGCCATGTGTCAGGCACATGTCGCACCACAGTTACACCAGGTTGGTGAGGTCCAGGCTGGAGGCTTCTTTCATGTTGGCTAACTTGCTCCCCAGTGTGCTGGAAGGTGCTAGGGAGGCTTCCAGGGAGAGCTGTCAGCAGCCTCACCCCTTTACAGACTGAACTCTACACGGTTGACTGGCAGGGCAAGATGTGCCTACAAGTACAGTACAGGACTGGAAAGTCTTATGGGAGCTACCCATCACATTGCTAGAACTGGGACCCTCTCCACTGGAAGGACTGTACATGTGGTACTGGAAACCTGGCTGAAATCTGGTGGCTGAAAGGGTCAGAGGCACCAGTGGGCAAGCGATGGCTGTGCTTCTGAGCCACTGTGCTGACAGTCTCTGACTCTGTCTATGATGTCCATAGACTCTGCTCCTGCCGGCACCCTTGGTGGACATCAGGAACTGTAGAGAACTGACCAGGGAAAGCGCCGGCAGGAAGTGACTGTTGAATGCACAGTCACAGATGGATGTCTCTGTCATTCCCTCCAAGGCTCACAGAACACTTTGGAAAGAGAGGACAAGTGCTGGGGGAAGGGGGAAGTGTGGTAGATAGAAATCAAATGCATAAGTGACAGGAGAGGGGAGGGGCTGGTGAGGCCCACCCCCTCCAAGGATCCGACAGTTGCTGGAAGAAGAGGAGACTTTTTCCTAGTGTTAAACCAGGGGTAAGATACTCATGCTCCTGCCAATAACCTCTCACTCGTGCCTCTTAAGTGCCCCCAGTGATTGCCTCACCCAAATAAATACATATGTAAATTTTAAATCTAGAAAAGGACAAAAAACACATTGAAGCAGAAGTGGAACTTTCTGGGAAGAATGTATCTCGGAGAGTGGGCTGGAGAAGGCAGTGTAGTGTAAACATGATCCACATACACGATATACATGTATGAAAATGTTATAATGAAATCTGTTACTCTATGTAACTACTAAATGCTAATAAAACATTAAAAAGCAAAAAGCAAAAAGCTGGTTTATGTAGATTTAAAATGAGAAACAATAGAGAGCACATCACTATAAACTATACATTTATTTTCGCATCACTTTAAACTATGCATTTATTTTTTACATTGCCGAAACTACTAGTACATTTCAAAGTAATTACTGATGCTCATAAAGCAGATTTCTGAGGAGGAGGAAGGGGGTGGGGGAGGGGAGGAGGAGGAAGAGGGAGAGAAGGAGGAAGAAGAAGAACAAAAAGAAGAAGGAAGAGGTGGAGACCACTCGACCACTGTGATGACAACAGATTAGTGTAAGCAAGTATTCTTTATGTTTGTTTAGCTTTTGCAGATTTTGGACTAGGGTCTCACTATGTTTTACTTGCCAACTTGAAACTTACTGTGTAGACAGGCTGGCCTTGAACACTGCTGCAATCCTCCTGCCTCTGCCTCCAGAGTGCAGGGATCATGGGTGTATGCTACTGCCCCTAGCTAACCAGAGTGGTT